GCGTAGCTAAATCGGAGTGCACGTTGGCCGAGGCTGTCTTCGGCCGACCAAACCTTGATCGGCGAGCGCGGCCGAAGTTCCCGTGTGTATACGAATACATTTTATAGGAAGTTCGTTACGAAGGGCAGAACAAACTTATGGCCGTATAAAATATCGCAACCGGCGGGGTAGATTCGCTGAGCTCTGTATTTTGCGTGTGCTGACGACGTTTTTTGTCGGCTTTTACAACAGTAGCTGCCTTTGCACCGCCAAGCGAAGAGCTCGATTGCGTTGCATCGCTTCGAACAGCAGCGCTGATGTGTACAATCATTCGCTTTTTCTTCAACGACCTTGTAAAGACTTCTTCAATACCGGGGTCAAATAAAAGCGATCGTGCTCACCATCGTCTGCTTCCACTTTATTCGGAGACCGTCTGGCGCAGGGGAGGAAGCGGAAGTTGCGTAGAAGCAGGTTTGGAGCCGCGGGTTTTTTTGCCGTTCAGTAGGCGCTCCCATGACTCCAACTCGAGGCACTCCGTTCGGAGGCAAGGAGGCGCTACTGAACGCGCCCAATGAAAACGCTACATTTTGTGAAAATTGCAGACACTATTCTTATAAAATGCGTATGCCTTTGTAAATGATAAGAGCCAAGGAGAGTATGAAGAAAGTTTCAACTTTTCGTAGAGAGGGAACGTAATACTGCAATAACCATCTCCAATTTTTTTTTTTTTTTTTTCGTCTTTTGCAGAAGGGATGTGTCCGTTCGTCCGCTTTCGAGCGCACACTCTCTGGAATGACTCATCGCATCGGACTTCCTCGCGCAGATTCCGTCAGCGACGCAGGTGAATTTCAAGCGCGCTTTGCGATCCATCATCATCCACGATGACTACGATGATAATAGACGTTGTCTGGGCATCCAAAGTCTGGGCTATCCAGACAACGAGCAGTGCGCATTCGAGATATCACTCCGCAGGTCCGCCGGTCGGAGATGCGAAGATCTTCCGCTTGCTACTGGCTGACAGTGGTTCTGGTTTTGGGAAAGGCTCCTCCCATTCTTTGCCATGACCTTGGTGTATTCAATCTTTGATTGCTTTGTTAAGGTGATTGCTTTGTTAAGGGGGAAATCGGCCGCGCATCGCCATGATTTAAAAAAAACATGACACCCCCCAAATTTTTTTTTTTTTTTTTCCTTTCTTGTTAGGCGATTTATTATGGTTAATGAAAAAACAGTTAGGGCGCAGGCGAGCTGGTGTAAGTTTACCATTTTTTTAGACCACCTGAGACTGGGTGGAAGAAACACGACGAACGTCTCAAACACAGCTAACATGGTGTCGGAATACTACCAAATTAATATTTTGCTACAGAGTCATATTTTTTTAATAAAGCCAAAAAACGCAACTGCTCGAAACTGAAACCGAAACCCCACACCGCACGGAGAAGTGGACAGGAATGACAGTTCTAAAGTAGAGGTCCCACGCCCGTCGTACGCTGCCATCTGCTAGTCCCACGATATGCGAAACGATGCAATGTTGAGAATTATGCAGTGAACTGTTCAGTAAACACACAAAATGCTTCTGGTTTTCTGTGCAACCTTTTTTTCTTTTTTTTTTTTTTCAATTAACATATTTGCAATTTTTGGAAGCCACAAAAAATGGGTTTCATATTTTTTTTTTTTTTTCTAATATTGACTGTGTGCCTTTAATGACCCACAACTTTGATTAAATTTGGCGGTCATGTCTGAACCTTAGAAAACGGCCCGTGACCACGGAAAAGAGATTGAGCGCGACTCAAACCAGCCAGTTCTCGATCAACGATTTTCGGGGGGAAAGAAACCGAATTTTGAGCCGCGTTGAGCCTATGTCATGTACAACCAAAAACCTCGGCGAGCATAAATACCCTGTCAGTGTCCCTTCAAAGATCTCTAGGATGCTTAGAGCCTGCAGAGTGAGTTATCAGATAGCTTTACTAGATTCTGAGTTATCAATAAATTTGTAAAGATTTATAGAATTACATTCACCAAGAGATACTTTGTGCGGTGATGCCATTTTTGTATCTTTTTATCTCATACAATAATTTAAATTAATTAGTCTAAAAAAGATATAGCCTCCCATTTTGTCCAACTTAATTGCAAATGTTTTTAACCAAGATCATTAAATCAGGTTTAAAATACACCGCACAAAACATGTCTTTGTGAATGCAATTCTATGACAATTTCTGATATATTCTAAAAAATTTTATGCTTCACAATGTAAGAAGGACCTCATTAAAATTACAAATTTGTTGATAACTCAGCATCTAATAAAGCTATCTGAAAACTAATTGCATATTTGAAATCACCACTGAGAAATACATCACTATACTAAATTTCAGCACAATGAAGGAAAAGTTAAAAAGAAAAAGTTAAAGACCAGTATCTCTTAAAGGGGCCCTCCGGAGCGTTCTGCGATGGTCTATTTATGGCGGTAACTCATCTACAGGCCCTCAGGATCCTCAAAAGCATAAAATTACGGTCAAACGCGGCGGATTTCCCTATTAAAATTGCTATCAAAGTACCCGGCACGCCCCCCCTTTCTGAGATGACCCCGGAAAACGGGAGGGGCATCTCTTTACGCGTCAGCCAATAGCAAGCGAAGGATTCTGGCGTCACTTCGCATCACCAATGCGGCCGACCGCCGACCCGCGGAGGAATCTCTCGAACACGCACGAACCGTCGTCAAGGGGCCCGGACTGCCCGGACTTTGTGCTCGACAGTCGTCATTCGTCGCACCGCACCGTCGCACTGCTACTGCAATACGCAGTCGCATTCCACAGATGAGAAGGAAAAGTTTGAGTTGTTGACGTGGAAGATCGCAAAGCTGGCTTCGGAGTCTGAATCCACGGGAAGAAGGACCACGTGTCCCGCAAACGCACGCCTGCGGACGCCCTGGGAAGCAGACGAGCCGACGCGCCGACGCATCACCCCCTAGCAACACACTTGCGGGGAGAAAACATAGTTCGCTGGTTTTGGAGCGATAATTGCGGACTACGTTTCCCGTATCACCATCAGTTTACGTTTTTCTCGAGCTCTAATTTACAACAAGCTTAAAAAGTGTTACAATAATAACGTTCGCATTCACCGCGAGATGCAACATTTCCATTGGTCAAGTTTTAGCGATGGGCAGGGAATGGGGGATTGTCTTCCAAGAGAAAATAGTCCCGATATATTTCTTATGCCATCTGCTTAATAAACAGTTTTGTAATCTAAAACTTTGTATACATATTAACTTGGACCTACTATGCGATATAACAGCATAAACAGACGATCACAGAAAGCTCCGGAGGGCCTCTTTAAAGGGAAACAAACTGAACCAAACTTTTAAGCAGACTCAACAAGGCTAGAGCGATAAGCGGGACGCTGCAGAACCCAAAACACCACTTGTACAACAATATCTCTAATGGATGGCCATATTTATGGAAAAGAAATGCGCGACTGAAAATGGCTGACGGTACGCGACGTCACAATTCTCATTTCCTCACCTCCTCGCTTTGTCCCGTCCAGCTGGTGAACCGAAGAGGGGAGAAGAGCAATGCCGCTTCCCCCATTCCCAAATGTTCCAGGATGATTGTGACGTCACAGTCCTTGCTCGATAGAGCCCTTTTTTTCCAAAAATATGGCCATCCGTTTGAGTGAGGTTTTGGAGCTTGTAGTGTCCCGTTCCAATGCTTCTGAAGCCTTATTTTGCGAAATCCAAATTTCGGTTCAGTATCCCTTTAATGCCGCGCGTGCCTTGTCTACTTATTCAAGCATAGGTCCGCATTTATTTTTTATTTTTCCTTTGTCGGCGCTGCTCTTTAAAATTAGAGGCCACGCTACAATCAAGACCAACGAAAGTCGACCTGTAATAGTACCAACATTAGGGGTGGGCAAATGGTGGTTTGAATCGAGTAGTGCTGCATCATCTCGGCTTCCAAGACTGCAAAAAGAGCCCACGTGTCGTGTTGTTGATTTCCCCAGCACTAAAGTCTACGAACGACGCAGTGCTATTCAATTCCAACTGCTGTTTGCCCACCCCTACAGAGCATAACTTCCAAGCCCATCCCACTCACCCACGGGTGTTCCCCCGTGTAAACCGCTTCTCCTAACGCACCAATGCAATGCAGTGAAGCTCGGCGCACACACGCCTGTGCGAGGTGGTGAAGTTTGACACGAGCAGCGATTGTGGCAAGGCGTAGGTGCACGTGGCTGAGATGAAAATCAAGCAATCTCATCGGGAGAATGAGACCTCGGTTCTGTCTTATCACAGCAGCCCCCATAACACCATTTTAATCATTTCTCTCGCGACTTCCAGCTTCGAGACATTGCCGACATCATCATTAGGAAGTTGTGACGATGACGTGGCCAGCACGATAGACAAGCAAAATTTAGCTTCGGTGAGTAAAGACACCGTAAACGCGGACGATAAGAATATTGTCCGCATTTTCGCATCAGTGACCTTGCGCCTGCTGCACGAGCGGAGAATTTAATGCACCCCCGTGCTTCGAGTTGTCCTAATACTGACCAATTTAGGGGGTTTTCAATGACGCCCAGCAAGTTTGTAACTGAAAGCAAATGTTCATTTTCACTAATCAAAAAATTCAACTGGTGAATTTTAGGTTCATTATTTTGATAATGTGTCCTTTGCAACCCTCAGCGTTCACCCTGACTTGGCGATATGTTCTCAAACCGTGTTCCTTTTTTTTTTGCCCACCCTAGTTGTAGGAATCTTCGAAAGCCTTTTGCAGAAACGCATGTTATAGTTATGCTATGTATGGACGGCTCAGGTCTTAAAAGGTTCTGCTTGAGCCGGTGAATGCTTTACGTAGGAACGGGAACGACTGAGGTAATTCGGGAGCTCCGGGAACCCTCGAAGGTAATCTGGGGGACCGCTGGGTTCCCAGGGACCCAGTCTGAGAATCAACGATCTAACCCATATCGGAAGGTTGGAGTGTGATCCCTCCAAGTGACAGACCCTTTGCTCGTCCACAACGCAGTGGGTTCCTTACCGCCTCAAACTCCTTGCTGAAGACGAAATTGCTGAAGAAGTTCCCGGACTCCAGGCTGGTCTTGTACTTGTCCCTGAACTCGAGGTGGACATCGTCGAGGAACTTGTCCACGTACGACAGCTGAAGCACCTTTTGGTAGGCCACCTAGGACAGGAATAAACGTCGCTATATATATAAAACCAGCCTCCCTTTTCTTTTGTTTTAATATTATAAAATACACAAAGCTTTGAAACAGCATACTGAAAAGTAGCGCTGTCTCGCCACGCTGCCTCAAGCCAGAACATGTGGCAGGCAATAGGAACCTAAGAACAGAAAAAACTAAAACTCACACCAACACATAAACTAAAAGCGCAAGGTCACGACCTGTCCACTGTGCTAGAGAGGGTTAGCCGATGGTAGCAGACACACAGAAGGATTAATCGTGACATTGCGCTTTTGGCGCTGTCTGGTTGGTGCTAAAGGTTCGTAGAATCGACTGTACGATGAATCAAGATGAAACGAAGTATAGACCTTTCCTTTCAAATTTTTCGCAGATTGGACACATTTTTTGTTTTTTTCTTCTACTTTCTTTGTAAGGAACTGAGAACATCAGCTTTCATTCCGCACTGTTTCCATTCTATGTGTAAAATAAGTGATGGCCCCCTGAATAACTGCTCGCTAAAGGTTGTTTTAGCTTGGAAATTGTTTTAGAATGTACATTACTAGAAGCTATCGGTATCGTGACAGATCCAAGCCGATTGAGAGTTGGCAAAGATGTTTATACAACATGGGAAATGGTGTAAAAAAATCTCCCGACAAAACGTTACCCAAAAAACATAGTAGCACTTGAGACGAGGACAAAGGAGACCGGACAACAGAAGCGCTACTATGCTTTCGAATACCCAGCACAAACTCACCTAACAATCTGCACTGGTCAAAACATTAATTGCAATTACCATTGATTTTCAGCCATTCTAGGAAAATAGCACACTATTCCCAAAGAAGGCTTGAAATATTTTTATTACAACTGTCTAATACATACATACTCAGAACTGCTGCACCCCAGTGCTTCCCCATTGAACATCCGACTATAATGCCCAGGCTACAGACATACATTATCCCCACATCTCATTATCCACGTTGACCTTGCTCGGTATGCACGCCATCACATAGGAGGTGCAGTAGTAGACACAACCCATGGAGGGTTTTTCATGTTGCACTGAAAAGGGCACCCGTGCCATCCACAAGCACACCGTGTCATATTTTGACTGCACTGCGGAAAACCTGGCTCGGTGGTGGTGCCCCCTCTGGAATTCGCTATTAGTATTTTGTCCTCCGTTTGACGGTTTTGTACTTCAGATGACAAGGTCTTGAGCATAACGGGTCTTGCTTAAGGCCTCATACGAAACACAAGGAAGACGGTAGAACTAAGACGTCTGTTTGTTTCCTTTAAAGCAAGATATCCTGCATCTGTACCACCCCTTATTTTAAAAATGCTTGTGTTGCCACTTGGTTAACAACTTCTTTAGAACTGGAATAGTCCGCTGCTGAGCGAGATCGTGGAAATGTGCTTACCACAAAGACCAGCTCGAACTCGTTGTCCAACTTGTACTTGAGCGTGAGGTTCTCGTGCGTGAACGAGTTGTTACCTCCTCTTTCCTGCAAGGCAATTGCGACATGTCAACCCGCAACTTCCCCCAACTATCCGCAGCAGCGCGTGTGGACGGATGCATCGTGTACGATAGCTAAGAAGCTCCCAGAGGCATGACGTGGTAAAAGAAAGCAGCCCATAGCTGCAAGCGTCAATGAAAATCCCCAACATGCCAGCGCGGCGTAGTAGCCATGAAATGTCAGAAATGCGCGAACTACTTTTGAACCGGTGATGAGGACGGAGCTCAGCGTGCCGTCATCGCACGGGCACTTCGAAGTTGATCGTTCGTGAAATGCCTATAGTTGGCCGTACGCTCTTCGCTGCGTGAGTATTTGTTCCCAACGAGCCTTAACCAGTCAAACATATGGAACTCACCTGAAGGATAACCGTGCGTATCAGGGCATTCACGGATGGTGTAAACAACTGTGTCGTGCCCTGAAAGCACCACAACACGATCCCGCTCTTGCTAAATATCGTAAAAAGGTCTAACATGTTGGCGGCGGCACTCGGCAGGGTACAAAACTAAACGTTATGAGAGTCGTAGGGAATTCAGGACGACACTGCGCGATTATCACAGCACACAGCACACTGAAGCTTCCGAGAAGAAACGTGTTTCGAGGAAATGACGTAGCTCGGCTTGGTCACGTGACTGTAATAACGTGACCTCAAATATCGAAAACGTTCTCAAACTAAAATTGTTCATTTTAACCTGCCTTTTCAACAGTTAGACAGGCATGACGAATCAGTCTAGAATAAAAAAGGCGATTTGGATGTGACGACGAAGATCCTGAAAGTCGAGCTGGATTATTTTTGTTTTGTTTGTTCATAGGTTGGTGCTTTGAGTTCTGTAAAATTACTGCGCAGGAATATAGTTCTCAATGTTAGTCGCTACAAGTGAACATATATGCACAAGTTATACAAATAAGCCAATATTATTGAACGTACAACTTTAATTAATTCGAACGGTGACGTTTTGTTTCGATTATACGCGAGAGGGATACTGCGCATGAACACGCGTATGGGACGTCGTGAGGAAGACGCCGTGAGGTCGCCATCTTGTCACATGTCTGGGTTTTGGGCTCACATGACCTGTTGTTTGGCCCCGTGATCAGTCGCTTCCTGGCAAATTCAAAACATTCAATCCTAACCACATGGATATGCTGGATCAAGCATTGGACAGCAGGTAGGGCCGTTTTTCGTACGGGAGGGGGACGCCCGAGAAATGACCGCCAAGCGCCGTTTTGGGCCAACAACAGGCGCTGTTGCAATCTGGAACTGTGGCGGCTGGCGATAGCGGAGATCATCAAATTGTGTGAGCGGTCGCGCTCTAGACCTCTACGATCGGGTCGCATTAAACAGCGCGCAGAAAACCTGTGTAGAAAATATGTTCGTAGAATGAGAGGAAGAGAGATTCGATAGGCCACGTTATTGATCTTCCGTGTGCGAATTAAGGCCCCAGTTAGATTGGATCGCCGTGAAGTGCGGCGGCGCGGCCTAGCTGTGCCAATTCTGTTTTCTGCCACATGCGTGTGACTGAGAATGTCTATTAGTGTTGTACTATGAACCCTTGTCATTAGCCGAGCGGAGGTCGAGGAAAATGAAAGGGAACAAAAAGAAAATAGTTTTTGAGCCGCTTATGTAGCGTAAGGCCCACTTTCTCATTGTCATAACTGAGATCCGAATATTTCTTTTTATGCTTACCTTTTTAATACCAAAACCCAAAGCACGTTCTCTTTTTTTCTTTCTTTCTTTTCTTACTTGGTAGGCTAGCAGAGAGATTCGTCGCCGCTCTGCGCGTAAAGGCTGTGCGCCGCCATAGGCGCAGCTCCCTCCTTCCTTCAATGTGGAATAAATGAACGGCGGAAGTGAAAATCGAGTCTCTCCCGATGTCTCGATCACATTTTGCGGTTCTGAAGATGGGAACGGTAAACTCCGGCGAACCGGCATCGATACATGCGTTCAACCTTTTAAAAAAGAAAAAGAAAGAAAAAAAAATCACGAAAACTGAACATTTTAATTGCGTTACTGCATTTGTCCAAATTTGTCTCTGTTCTAAAAGTATTCAAGCGCCGGGAAAAAAATATCTGCCCACTGCAATTCCCTTTTTTTTTTTCTTCTTTTTAATAAAGTATATATAGTGTTAAGCGCGTGTTTGTTTCTTTGAGCCGTGCTGGTTTCTTTGCCTCGGACTTTCTTCACCTACGGCAAGCTGACTGATCGCATTGAACAAAGCTCTTCTTTAGATTGTGGGACAATACTAGAGCTGCGTTTGTCGCTCGTTAAACAAAACTGGAAAAAAAAAAAAAAAGTGATAAGGGTAGGGAAGAATCTGGCCAAGGTCACGTACTGTGGCTTGTGGACCTTCAGTTGCTGCGTGTTTACGCTGTTCTTGAAAGAGGGCTTCTTTAGTCGTGTGAATAGGTCAGCTTGTCCAATTTAGCTAATAAGAAGTGTCTATATATATTTTCTTTTTTTCCTTTCTAAGATGGAGGTGGTGATTCCCGTAATAATCTGTGCTTGTACCACTGCGAGTTAAGTTCATTGTCAGACTAATAGTTAATGCCTATTTGTGTTTAGGTGCTCGTAGCAGTGAAGTCCCTGCAAAGTTTGACTCAAACTAAATTATGTTGGAGTGTGAATAGTTTCTCGAATCGAACCTGACGGTTTAAGAGCATTGGACGTGTTCCTCTCATGTTTTTATCTACAAGCTTTGCACAATTTAGGGCACGTTAAAACTCTCATGTTTGATTACCAGTTTAATGCCCTCTAAAACATGCAAGCTTTTTGGACTGAGCATATTTTTTAGAGCAAACTAACGTTGTTGTTGGGTGCCTTTATTGGGACTGGTAGCTTGTACGAAGTTTCACAATTTGTCACTGAAAGGCTGGCTATGGTTGAATGACGTTTTAATGAACAAAGTCCTGCCCCCGGCCTTTCATCGAAAGAAACTTTATCGAAGGGTCTCTTTCAATGAATTTTTGTAAATAGCCGCCGCAAACCGTCGCTACGAAGGGGGCATGAACAAAGGGGGAGGGGGGGGGGGGGGGTGAGTGGATTAAGATGCACCCCAGTGACACGTCTTTCGCTAAAACCTCTTCGCTCTATGACCGCTGTTCGCTAAAATGTCATTCGTTCACGTGATATGGACCTGCTTGCTATGTCTATCGGCTTTTGCTAGAGCTCACTCTTCTTTTAAGTTCTGAATTTCCCCTCTAATTCTACCCAAGCAGGTCATTATTTATGCCTGAAAAGGCTGTAGGACCATTCGTGGAAAGTCAGTTTATAGCTGACTAATTGGAAAACGGACGGTTGACCACATGGGGTGTCGTCGTGGGGTAGTTTGTCGAAGTTCTGAAAGACATTTCTTATTATCGTTTTGGGTTTATTGAGTGTATGGCTCCCCCATGTGAGAGATCACAGGATCCCCTGTTAAAGGTTGGTTAAACTGCTGCTACACTCGCAATACACACTGGCCATCTGGACTCCAGTTGCCACAGCAATCACGTTCACACCAAAAACCATAAAAAAAAATTACAAAAGCAAGCAAGGTTAGCAGCGAGTCTAAGCAATGACATCTGCTTAAGAAAGCAACCTTAAAAGGGAAAGAAATTAAGGTGGGCGGGCAGGCGCACATTTGTGCTGAAAAGCCGCTTACAGTTGATGCATTGAATAAGTCCAAACATCCAAAGAATCAAATTGTCCAGTTGTCTTCAGGGCATGTTCTCGTAAGCCTCAAAAAGCTTAACTTGCTTCATTAGATACTTTATTCATTTAGAAACCGGACAAGACAACATCAATGCTAAGAAACGAAGAGGATGGAACCAAGTCAACTTTCAGAGCCATGTTCAAACCTTTATACACTTGAAGAGAGCAGAAAAAGATATCTTACAAAACAGTATATAATGGTTAATAAATAGGGAGCCAAGGCATAAAGAAAGAATAAACAATTAACACTGGGACTACACAACCACATCTTTCAACTGGCAACAGACAATTAAAAATTCCCACAGCAAGCAGCCAACTAAACCCAAGAGGAAAGGGGGGGGGGGGGGGGGGGAAGGGGAGATAAAAAAAATGACCGCATCTTCACGTGGTGAATGATGTTGATTGGAGCAAAGCTCTAGTGGTGCTTGTCTGCGTAGACGCTGAGCGGCAGCATGCCGAGCCTTTCGTTCGTTTTCATCCATGTCAGAAAGAGAATGTGTGGTATAGAACGTGGTTATATACGCATTTGAGCATTTGACCGCAGCGCCCTCTCGTCTATAAACATTGAGCCGATGCATGCAAAGTTTAACGCGATTATATACGCATTTGACCGCAGCGCCCTCTCCTGTATAGACGTTGAGTGGCTACATGCAACGTTTCATCCATGACATCCCCAGCTCTTGAGTTACTACCACATCTCAGAGCCCCCTACTTGTCCCGCATTCGTGGCCGAGTGGTTAAGGCGATGTACTAGAAATCCATTGGGGTCTCCCCGCACAGGTTCAAATCCTGTCAACTGCACAAACATTTTTTTTTTTTTTTTGCCCTACACGAGCACGAGCACCAGCAAGATCGATGTGAGCACGGACGCCGGATGGACAAGGCCAGACCCTAAGGAGCTTCGCCCCTAAAAACGCAAAGGCAAGTCAGAGAGGTGGGTTTATCTCAGATTTTAGAAATTCAACCTCAGTTTCTCAGTTTTCGTCAGCAGGAGGGAAGGGTTTGATACTTTGTTGTTAACTGTGGTCATGGCGAATGACTTTTATGATCTCCCTGCTGAATCTGCTGTTATGGCCCCCCCCCCCCCCCCCCCCCCCCCAGGATTTTTGTTTCATCAAAGAGGGGATGACAAAGCAAACACAAACAGGCATGTATGATTACGGGATGATAAGAATCTGGAGAGGCCTTAGAAACTTCTTTGTGATGTTCCTGGAGTCTGTGATTGGTGCATCTGCCGTTCTGACCTATCTATTGATGGCCGGAGCTCGAGGGAATGGAAGAAGCTTTCTTCTCTTTGCATGGAATGAACTTTTTTTCGTGTTTAACTTTTCATGCCGCATGCGTCTCAAGCAACTCTGTCAACAAGTGAACAACAACCAAATTCCATTTAGCTGCACTGTTAATCACGAAAAGAAGTTCAGTCCATGCAAAGAGAAGAAAGTTTACTTCATTCCCTTGAGCTGCGGCCATCAATACATAGGTCAGACCGGGAGATGCACCAATCACAAACTTCAGGAACATCACAACGAAGTTTCTAAGGCCTCTCCAGATTCTTATCATGCCATAGCCATACATGCCCGTTCGTGTTTGCTTTGTCATCCCCTCTTTGATGAAACAAAAATCCTGGGAGGCATAACAGCAGGGTCGGTAGGGAGATCATAGAGTCATTCACCATGACCACAGCAAACATGTCAAACCCTTCCCTCCTGCTGACGAAAACTGAGGTTGAATTTCTAAAATCCGAGTTAAACCCACCTCTCTGACTTGCTCTGCGTTTTTCTCCACTTCTCTCCCCTCCTTTCTCTTTTGGGTTTAGATGGCTACTCGCTGTGGGAGTTTTTAATCATCTGTTGCTAGTTGAAACATGTGGTTGTGTTGTCCCAGTGTTAATTGTTTATTCTTTCTTCATCCTTTGCTTGAACGAACACGTTCTTCTCCCAAGCGGCCAAGACATCTTGCCATTAATTTTTGACAAAGTGCTTTATGCAGCGAATTGTCCTGCTGCGAGTTGCTCTGGTTTGACTTGTCTTTCGACAACCAGCCTGTACCTCAGTGATTTGAAACAGCATCTGTACCTCAGTGATTTCAAACAGCATCCTATTCTTGTTCAGTTATTGCTGGGCAATTTGTGGTATTGGAAATAATGGAGACCTTCTAAAATTTCTGTCTGTTGTAGCCAAGAGACCATTATGAGGCTAAGCACTGAAGCAGACAAAATTTTATAGATTTTCTGTTATGTTTAGTTGGGGTCTAAACAATGTAGACAGGTCAGGGCATGCACTTCTTTCCACAGAGAAGTACTTTCCTCCGGGTGGAATAATGGACGGTGGCTGTTTTTTCTGAATTCGGCAGTGGCTTGTACCATTTGGCCAAATATTATCCCTAATACTATGCTGAGTGCTTTTTAGTTAAATTCGTAGTTGCTACTTATCCTAGCATTCATTTTAACCTCCATCTCTCAGACCTACTCTTACTTCTTTCTACCCTTTGAAAATCCTTTGTGCCATTGCCCTCACCAATCCCAAGACATTTGAGGAGGTGTGGCCTAGGGTGCCTACATATTTCCGCTCCGCTTTAGGGTGGCGCCAACTTCTTGTTACCCTTTCCCAGATCCTCTCCCACCGCCATTTTTTCCCACTTCTTATTTCGCTAAACGTGAACAACGTTGAGTTTCTGTAGTTTCGACACACCGGCAGCACTGTGAGGCCACTTTCGTTTCCGTTCATAAGAGGAGTCGGAGGCTCAGCGGGATGGCGGTGGTTGTGGCTGTCTCTCACTTTATTCGGGTGTTTCATATTTTGAAGTTGCGAGCAGGAAGTGTGCGTTGCTTTTATTGAAACGCGAGTTCCCGCGACAAAATAGAGCGCAACGGACCGGCATTGAACGCCGAAACCTCGCCGTCGGAACGAGAGCAGTGGGCACTCCCTAGCCCTAACAAGGATTAGCGGCGTAGTCCGAGCGCACGACCGGCGAGTGCGACAAAATGGTCGACGAAAGCAGCGGAGGTTGCCATGGTAACGAGATAGGCAACACTGGTTGGTCGACAACAGGTATCACAGACGTTGTCGCCACCCTAAACAGCGGAGCGGCGGAAACATGTGGGCACCATAGTGTGGCCCTTTGTGCAATGATATTGGGTTTCAGGGCCCCTTACCTCCCGTAATGGCTTGTTCTGGCATTTTCATTCTGTCCCCACATATAGTGCATGTTCTGTCAGTCTCCCTTTATATAGCTCTTTATGTCCTTGTTGTCACCATTGCTTTCCTAGCCTCAAATAATATACTTCCTCTTTTTTTATTTAAGTTGTTTTTGCCCTGTACATCTCCAAAGCTAGTTTCTCCATTGTTCTTGCGTACCGCATTGCTGTCACATTTCCCTTGCAGTATTCTTTGCAGATCTTGTTTTTATGCTCTCCCCAGCGTTGCCCTAGTAGCTTGACGTGTTTTTGGGTTTGCTTCCTTTGCCTAGCGTCATGTTGCTATATTCCGCTTTCCCAACTTTCTTCCATTACGCTCAACCATTCTGTAAGTTTTGTCTTGTTACTAGCCTCCCTCGTTTTAAACAAGGGCCAGCCCTTTTCTTCTTGCGTGCTTTCGTTTCGGGTTTTCCCGTAGGCTCCTAGTGCCAGCCTATGCGGGCAGAAACCGAGAGTAGATGAGCGCGTGTGGGGATGTCAGTAGGCCAAGCTTTGGTTTGAACAATTAGTGGGTAGACTGAAAGCCTTTGTCACCACTGCACTCGTCGGAATGCGTTGGGACACAGAACCATACATCTGGGGGTTAGGAATGTGCTAGCTTGCAATCTCTTCTGGAGGAGTATACTCTACATTAATCGCTTGACTGAGTCAGGTCAGTGTGAACAGAATGACTTCAACATTTTTCTTTCTCTTCGTGTTTTGGTCTTCAAAGCTTATGTTTCTGACAATAAAACAAACATTAAAAAAGAAACACTAGCTTTCTGTTCTTTCTTGCATTCAACAAATACATACAGAAACCAAACCAGTTGTCTGGTTTTGTTTTCAAAGGAACGGTGTAAAGAAAGGGTCAATGCACAATTATCTGGCTGGAGCAGATAGGGTGCTTGCAAGCTGTTTAGGTTTTCAAGCATCAGACGAAAATATTCAGGACAAAAAGTCGTCACCTTTCCTTCATTCGGTTTCAATTTGCCTCTTTAGCTTCCGCGACATTCCAGCAGCTTCGGATTCCTACCCAAAGGTACTTTAGCCTCTCCGTTGGATGACAAGCTCTCATATTCCAAAAAATTTAGTTCTGAAAAGCATTAGTGGCATGAATCGAAAAAACCGTGCTCCCATTGGCACTATCGCCAGAGTGGCCGGTACGTGAAGTGAGCATCATATGCGTGGAGCGTCCAATTTGAAAACTTGATGTAGCCTGGCAGTGCGAAACAATGTGCGAATGTAACATTTATAGTTCACCAAAGACAATGAATAGCAACACCTTCCGCAGCGTGCGCAGCTTCGCGTTTAGATGGGCACTTTCCAATGTCTAATCACCGTCGTACATGTGCAGCGAAGACCAACAAAGGGTTGACTACAGAAAAGTTTAAGAACATCTTCAGCATCCCTTTATCACGATTTGTGCAACTTGAGGAGATGGAACTTTCTGAACTTGTCATTTGTGAGCGTACAGTTTCTTAGAGAGAAACTATGGTCTACAATCTGGGATCTAGGAGGTAGTTCATCATTAGGAACTTGTCTTCGCATAACTGTTCATATAGATGAATGATGTGTTTTGTTCTTAAATAACATCCGGAATCTGAGAAGTTTACATGGTAAATTTGTCTAAAATCTAAACTTCCGTCTTCTTTTTTTTTTTTTTTTTCAGGATATTGCAAGCTTTGTAAATCTGAAGCCCATAAATATAATGTTAGGACATACAAAGGAGGAGGGACATTACCTAACTATTCTGCCCCGTCTTGCAGCTCTCAAGACAAGAACAACGACTCGGCCTCGGATGACGCATCGCAGATGCATTCTGACGGTGAGAACTGCTTTCTCCACGGAGGTGACTATGGGCTGCAGCTTCTTTTCTCCATGGGCTTCGGCTCATTTTTCAATCCGGGTTCAGATCCAATTGCCGGTTCAGGACTGTTCGTTGAAATGGCACAACCCTGATCCTTTCTTGCGGGACAATGGATGGTGGTGCACTCACATTGACGTATTTGGCTTCTGGTCTCTGCTTCAAAATATTGTGCATTTCTTGACGGCATTGCTCCGAAACGAGAAGTGCTATTTACATGTTGTATATGTTACATGTCTTTAGTAGGGGTGGCAATTTGAATAGTGCAATATCATTCCTTCGAGGCTGCAAAAAAAAAAAAAAAAAAATAGATTTAACACATTGCGGTTTATCCCTGCCTTACGAAGGCTGTAAATGATGCAGCAATCTTCAATTCCACTCCTATTATTTACATGTTTGCTCACTTTGTGTTTATCTGCTTGGTCTAGTGCTTTTTGTTTTGTTTGAAATGCCCCTTCTCCAGCTGTCTTTTAGTAGGACTGCTGGAGCTTAATCTGGAGATTTATTGTTGATTTATAATAGCAAGACCTTTTCTTGGAGAAGTCATCCGTTTACCTCTTAGCTTTCAGCCAAACTTGATGTCATGCTCAACATTGTGCAGTGCTTGTTGCCAACAGAGACCGCCTTTCTTCTGAGGCACGTAAGTCTTGGGAACACCTCTTTGAAGCTGTCTGGTGTTTCTCTTTGTTCTTTCATGTGCTGATTGCAGCTCAGCCCAACTCAAGTTAGAAGTTACGACGACAGTCCCAGTCAGTTGAAACAAGTCAGTCTATGCTTTCTAGGGGGAAACTTGCCTTAACGTTGATGCAGGAAGGGGGCTTTGAGGTGGGGCTGCAGGGAGGTTGGCATTCTCAGTCCACCCTTCTCTAATCGAAGGCTGAGGCCACAAGAATGGTTACTGCCTGAAAAGATGACCCCCTCCATACTAGAAACTAGTCCTTTGTCCTCAAGGATAGACAGTAGGAGGAGTGCACAACAAAACTATGTTGCCCATTGTGCTGTAGCGAAATTTTATGTCTGCCCTTTTTCAGCTGTAGTCTCAGTTTGTGGGCATGCTGCTGATCATCATTTAAATGCATAACAGTGCCAAGGTTGTGCAAAGCATTATGAGGCAGAGTGTGTGTGCATTGTTCCGTCATTAGAAGGGAGAAAAAGGCTGTCTGACTGTGCAAAGTCTGTTTCGATAAGTGGATACTCACCTGCCACTGTGGTTTATTATATCTGAATGCCTATTGTAGCAAAGTTGACTATAATTAGGCTGCTGTTTGTGTCTATATTTCTTTCTGGCTTCATGGTCTTGAAATTTAGCAGACAGGTAAAGTTTAGTGGGCTTGTACAGTCATCCCTGATTTGGACTAAATGGTTTTAAAAGATATTCACAGCTCCATTGCTTGTCAAGCCTTTGTCAACGTTCGTGAAATGGACTATCTCAATCAGGTCACTGAAAGTTGTCTCCCTAGTAGCTTACATGATGATAAATTAAGACAAAAAAGGTCACCAAACTACAGTCTATCCCAGGGGTGGCCAAACCTAGGCTCGCGAGCCGCATGCGGCTCTTCGCTGGTCCAAGTGCGGCTGGTGGATCCCTCATAAGGGGACCTTGCCTCCCCCCCTTCTGCCCTTTCTGCATTTCCCAAGGATTTCAGAATAAAGAACAGCTTGCGGTTTCCCCCATACATACAGTCGAGCCGCTTTTCACTCGTATGTTTCCACAGATCCTTCTTCTTTCATCGTTCGAGGGCATTTGCCGCACCCTAGGGGAAAAGGCATCAAGGACAGGGGGTGTCAAACCATGCATGCAGTTTGGCTTGGGGTCGAGGAAATGTTCAGTCTTGCGGCCTTTGTCACTCGCCGGTGATACTTGTCCCCTTTAGATAACGGATGTTCCCTGTCGTTTCTTGTTGAAGGTCGCGGAAGCCCGAGTTGACGACATTCATACCCACCCCGCAGCTCTTGCAAGTTTCTTGGTTTTGTTTGCGGCTCATAGGCCGGGTCAGCGTGGCCACCCCTGGTCTATCCCTTTAGTAGCAAATGTTGTAGGAATAACCAAATACTGGAAATGGCCATTCATGTCTCCTAATGTTTCTCGTATGCCATGCTTATACTTGTTATTCAAAAAGATTCAGTTCAATTTTGTCCTTCGAATATACCGGGTGATTCAAGGAGACGGCAGGCTCTTTAAATCGACCGGAAAATTCGGTTTCTTAACCTATCGCGCTACGACTTTGTGCAGCGTTGCCCACAGATGGTGCATTTTTTTTGTAAAATTTGCAAAGAGCGAACTTACCTGAGGAAAAAGTGAAGGAAGAAAGAGACTTAGCTCCTATGGAAATGCAGCGACGCCACCGGTCTGCAAACAGCACGGCGCCGTTTCGCACGGCACACAAGAGATGGCGCAACGAACGCCACCAACGAACGAGCTTACGGCGCCGAGAGCCGGCGTCTTTAGCGGACAATCTTTTCAACTCAAAAGCGGATCGCGTTCCGCTGGTGGCGACAGTCGCAGAAACAAAAACAGGCACAGTAACAACAAGGAACTGCAGTTCCTTGTCTGCTAAATACTCCGGCTCTCGGCGTCTTCTGCTCGTTCATTGGCGGCAGTTGGCGTCGCGACTGCTTGCACCATCTCTTGTCTCCCGTGTGAAACGGCGCCGTGTTGTTCGAAGACCGGTGGCGTCGCTGCGTTTCCATAGGAGCTAAGCCTTTTTCTTTCTTCACTTTTTCCTCGGGTAAGTTCGCTCTTTGCAAATTTTACAAAAAAAAATGTACAATCTGTGGGCAACGCTGCATAAAGTCGTAGCGTGATAGGTTAAGGAACCGAATTTTCCGGTCGATTTAAAGAGCCTGCCGTCTCCTTGAATCACCCGGTATTTCACAAAAGACCTAGATTCCTAAGCCTAAAAGCTCTTGTGGGAGTTGCTCAACATCATTTAAAAGGCTGCTGTGAACGTCACTCTGGAGCAGTTGCTTGAGCTCAAAATTGAAGGGCCGTTGTTAACAATAATCTTGACAAATTTTTATGAATAATCACTCCATTTTCAACCCAGATAAAAGCCAGAATCCTTTAAAATGGCTTTTAAAAAACATTTGAAAGTTAGTTTGTTTCTTTTTTGCACCAAACATTTCTGCAAATGGTGTATCCAGTTCAGCGATGCATGCGTGCCCCATATTACGCCTGCTCGGCTACAGGCTTCTTGCTCTCCTGATACCTTTTTCACTACTATCGTGAATTGAAGAAGGAATTATAGGTATTATTGCAGCATTGTTTTATTTTGGTTAAACTGCATTTTAGTAGAGCATTAATTATCTTTTTCTCTGTTGTGGGCAGCTTTTGATGTGTGGCAACGAGGACTTGTAGGACTGTCTGGTCTTTTGCCTTGGTGCCGCAGACAGTATGTCTTCAGTGAGCAGGTTGTGTGCTCCTTGTGTAGAAAGTGCAAGCACTAAGCTCTGATTAAAGAATATAGGGGTTACTCAAATGCAGCATCGTTTGCTACTCGTAGCAATGGCTTCCTTGCCTTTTCTATGGTCGTTGGAAAGCCACCGGTTCTTAATGTAAAGGACTCTGCGTTCGAGAAAGAGGACAGGAAATATTTGAGAGAAAATTTTTTCTGATGACGTACAACCACCTAATAGGTGCGCTGGAACAAAAAAACCCGTCTGACACATTTGCTGTCGACCAAGGAGAATGCCATCTGCTGGGGCGAAGTTTCGTCGCACCCGTGACCACTCCCCCTCAACTGGCTTGCCGTACTGTCTATATGAAATGAAAAACTGTGTGCATAGAATGCAGTATTTAACGAGGGATTGTATAAATTTGTTTGCAAGGCATTATAATAAACCACATCATTCTAGCAAGTCTGGCAAGCACAGAGTTTCTGGTGCTATGCATAATTAAGGCAAGCTGTGGGCGGTTTCGGATGCATTGCAAATATGACACGCTTATGTGCTCCCTAAAGGTTGTCAGAAGGGTCGAGACAAATTCAGATTTGTTCAAGAGTTTATTGTGTGAGCAGTATGCTTCAGTTAGAAGTTTCCATGAGCCCTTCTTTTGAGGGTGGCTCTAACGCCTTAAAGGGATGGTAAACTGTAATTTGAAATTGAAAAAAAAAAAAAATGCTGGAGATGTAGGTGGGACTCTACAATCCCTACGACACTACTAGTAAGGCGATATCTCAAATGGACGGCCATATTTTTGGAAAAAGAAGTCAAGATTGAACCAGGCCGACGAGGCGCGTGACGTCAAGATACCTAGTTTCCTCGTCTCTTCGATTCGCTCCCTCAAGGCCGCGAGGCGGAGAAGACGCGAGGCCATTCCCTCGCTTTCTCGGAGTGTCAACATTCCTGCCAAATGCACCCCTTTTTTTTTAAAATACGGTCATCCGTTCGAGATATCCCTGTATGAGTGATTTTTTGGTGCTTGTAGCATCCCATTGCACGCTTTTGCCGCGTGTTTTGGGGAATCCAGATTTCGGTTCAGCATCCCTTTAAGTTCTTAGTGCTTTTGGGTTGCAAGGAGCTTCTTGTGGTAACTGGAGTAGCAGCAAGGTGAGGTAGGTTATCATGCTTCTTACGTTATCTGTTGGCTGCTGCGTAAAGTCAAGAGGTCATACGACCGATTCGCTATTCGTAAATGCATTGCGATCCTCCACACAACATCACAAGCATGTGGGGAGCTACGTTTCCTCATTTCGGAGTCAGCTGCGCGTGCTGGCGGCAGTCTGTCTCGTGGGACCTCCTCCTTGTGGCTCCAAGCGAAGCTGTTAGACTGCGAATTGCCCTGTCCCGGACTCTATTTTCGCCAAAACGATCGGTAAAACTTGCCTCTTATGCTCGATTATTTCTAATACTACTAATTATGACTAGGTATGCCTTCTCTTTGGTTGATTATGCAATGCCTGCTACGGGCTGTATACGTTTCACGTTGCCTGGGCCTGCGTCTTAACGCTTTTTCGTCACAATAGGGCACAACACTTTTTGCGTAAAATCTTGCTCATAAACATATTTTGGGTTAAAAATTGTTTTGAGGGGTAAAGAGGAACATATTGTCCCATGGATTGCCATGACCCACCTCTACAACATTGCCCCACGCTATGGGGAGCATCGATACATAAATAGCAGGAAACGAAGAGCATATGCCGTATCCGTTGCACATAGAATCTCTTCTTGCCGGCGCAGAGGTAGAACGTCGGTCTGCGCACCTCCTCAGTTCGATTTCCAGTGGGGGACGAGCATATATTGGTTTTGTTCGAGTACAGCTTACACGCTTTGTCTTGCTGGTGTTGCCACGGTGACCACACCGGTCGCACCGACACGTCCTGCACCTACGGGCCTAAAGGGGAGCGTGCAGGCGCACAGATGGACAGATTTTTAGAGTATGGTGTTTCATTACAACTAGGGTTTCATGCTTTCGGTAAATACTGATAAACGGAGAAAATTAACCCCCGAGCCCGATTTATTAAAATTGATGATGAATGAAAAACTACAAATGGGAACTACCCTCAAAGAAGAGAAACTCTGGCTTCACGGGAAATTTTTCTCTACAACTTTATCGGGAATTGAGCCGCCACCAAACCGTGTGCGAGGCAGCTTTTTTCTTTTCTTTGGGATGATGACGCCCCTTATTTCGCTTCCTTTTCTTGTTGGCATTAGGACATTTTACTACTATTCGTGCACAAGTTCCCTGGAGGCGGGGAATCACATTCCCGCGGCATATTTTCTTCAGCAGAAGCTCCAACTTTTTTGTCTGACATCATTAATAGACATGAACAGAAACCAAATATATTTAAAAAAAGAAAAAGACGCTTTTGATGTGAAGAAAAGTAAACCCCAAAAACATGGAACCCTAGTTACAATTAGGGTTATTTGTTTGTAGGGTTTATGTTATCCGACAATTTGGGTGTTTTTTGGTGTGAAAAAAAGGTAGCGTTTATCAGGGTTTACGTCGAAGAAAACTGGATTCTTCTACCTTCAGGGTGTTAACTATTTTCCCCTGATGCTGATTTACGAGTATCAAGAAAATATGCTTGCAATGAATTTCCAGCGTCGTCGTCTTCTTTTTTTCTTTATATTCAGAGTTTGATGGCAGACTTCATCGTCATCTTCATCCGTGATGTTGATCATTCAATACAGGGAATGGACCTGAATATTTCAAAAACGTCCTCATGCCCGTAAGAGAGGACCTGAAATAGGAGGGGGGGGCTCTATTTTGAGTTAACTCCAATCAAAGCTGTGAATAAAGATTTGTTCGGGCGAAGCTCGGTTTTTTTTTTTTATTTATTTTATTGGAGGACTGTTCCAATTCAGGGCTCTTCGGGTTTTCCCCGACTTCTATGAAACCATTGCGGGGTCTGTGAACATTTATTGGAAGCACGAATCGAAAGGAAAGAAGGACGTCATTCCTTGCGGGGAAGGACGGAGGACGTACGTCGAGGAGGGAACCACGCGAGACGGGGGCCCTTTTCCCCGCAGTGACGGACGGAGTGGAGGTAGACGGCCAGGCGGCGGCGGCCATCGCGAGCGTGTCCCCGCAGACGCTGCTGGACCCGGGCATCCAGTATCAGTTCCGGACGGAGAATGGCCAGGGGGGCGTCACGTACCGGGTGGTGCAAGTGGCGGCCGCCCCTGACACGGCCACCGTGGTGGAGACCAATGCGGGGGGCGCTCAGGTGGTGACTGCGGGCACGGCCGCCCTGGTGGGCCAACAGGTGGCCCAAGCCATCATCTCGAGCCCCTTCGCCGCCGCTGCCAATGGCGGCTCCAGCCCCACGGCCGAAGGTGAATGGGGGTCGGGGGGGTGGTCGTTGCAGGACGCCCAGAACCGCGAGTCCCTCTGGGGGTCGAGAAGTGCGGGACGAGCTGCCCTCGCAAAGCCTTCCTCTCTTTCCGCCTTAGCCGAGCGAACGCGAGAGAGGAAGAGTGCTTCCTACTTGCTCTTCTCTGGCGTTTGCTCCCTTGCTCAGCCAAAGTGGAGAAAGTGGAGGGCTTCGGGAGAGGACAACGTTCTGCTTTTCTCGACCTGCAACGGGGCGTACGGTCGGCGACGAGTTAAGAACCTATGGGATGAAGAAAGAGCAGAACAAGAAAGTGCAATGGCTTGTCCCGTTGTTGTAGGGATGGAGTGAAGAAAACTAAGTATGAGAAAACAAAAACTGAAGGTCGGTCATGGTCGCGTTTATGCACGGCTGTCGCAAAGCATCTTGAGATTGTTCGCAGCGGGGGTCCTAAACCTTTCAGTCTCGAAAAAACCTCGCCAACCTTGAATTCTAGCCGGGAGGTACCCCTTCTGGTCTTGACACTTGCATTTTGGCAGTTCAGGAGCTTATAGAGCCTATTATCATTAATTAATGTGCTCGAAAACGTTTCGCCCACAGGTATACGTCAGTGGGTGGCGCAGTTCTTTTAAGATATGTGGTGCTCAAACTTGGAGAAAGCTTCACCTAGGGGAACAAACGATCAAGAAAATTCAGAATCTTGGAGAAATGTGGGTACTCTGAGGAACCCCTGTATTCCCAGGAACCCACTTTGAGAACCCACGGGTTACAGTGTACCGAAATTCTCTTTGTCTAGGCAGCGCGCCACCATTCTGGGTCAGTGTACCAGGGGATTTTATTTCTGGCCTCTTTAAGCGAGAAAATCCATATTTGTGCCAACGAGATTGTATGCCGACATTTTGTTGTGCCTGCAGTTGATCACTACCCAAGCATCAATCATTCTTCGTAGTTCTCTAACGAGAGAACTTGCAAATAAGCTTTTATCATTTATTTTCAAAGGAAGGCATGCTTTCTCAAATAAAGAAAGGACCATGCAAATGACCGCATGTGTTCACTGTGGATTTTCCCGATGCTGCCATCGATGAGGCGGTGAATTTTGGCGGTAGTGGCAATATTAAGAAGTCCTTTTTGGGACAAGAACGAGGAATGAAAGATGATATCATTTGAAGAGATAGGTGTGTATAAGTAAGGGCTGAATAGTTAATAGTGTGTACAAAGCCAAAGACACTGACATTAATGAGAAAGGCTTTAAGCGCAATGATGCTTCACCGTGATCTAGATGTTGTTTTTTCACTGCATGTTTCAATTGCTCAGCTGTTCTGGAGGTTCCGATGACTCGCCCAAATTCCCCTTTTCAATGCGTTGGCAACCCTTGTTGCACTGGGAGCCATACTATATATAGTATGTTGCAACTCAAAAAGGAAGGCCGGGAAGGAGGAAGCACACAAAACGCTAAAGAAACGAGTAGGTTTCCCTCACTCCTCTCCAACGTTCCGTCTGCTTCCTCCTCCCTGGCCTTCCTTTCCCTCACCCTACCTTCTTGAGTTGCAACGGAGTTTAACAACGGTGGAAGCACTCTTAAAGGGGAACCCTAGCAATTTTTTTTTTTTTTTTTTGTCTTTGATTTGGCTGGAAATTGGCGACCGCATCTAGAAGTCTTTCTCAACCAAAAGCCAAAGTATTTTATAAAAATAAAAGGACTCTCGTGAAATTATTGAATTTTCAATCTTCGCCGGCGCGTGGGTTCTAGGAGGCGATTCTCTAGTGGCAACAATGAAAAAGTCCTACTTTTCCTTACCTGTGCACGTCACCTGTGGGCTTTTCGAGGTCGCCAGCGATTGAGATTTTTTTTCTCAGCTTTAAGGTTAAAAAGTTTTTTTTTGCAAGGGGTAGCAATCTGTGCCCTGCAGTAGGTTGCACAAACAATTCTGGAAAAGCTTCTTTGTTACTCTTCTTTTCATAAGAGAAAAAAGTGAAAGCCGTTTACAACTCCCTGTAACGCCGAATGGGAGCGCAGCTCTTGAGGAGAAGGAGGGAAGAATACTGAGGGGAGGGTAGACTACCCCTCCTCCTCGTCCTCCCCTCATTCTTGAATATGCTCCGGGGGTCACCTGACCTCGGGGAAGGGGGTCGTGTGACCTTTGGGACGAGGGGGGTCACATGCCTTGGGGAGTCACGTGACCTCTGAAGGTCACGCGACCGTGGGGGTCATGCGACGCTTGGGGGTCACGCGACCTTGGTGGGTCACGTGACCTTGGGGGAGGGCGGGGGCACGTGACCTCGCGGTTATGCTGACGACGACGCCGACGCCGCTCAAGCCGGAAACGGGCGCCTAAGAGCTGCGCTCTAAAAAATGCACTCCCCAGCAGCTGTGGAGGAGAGCCACATCAAGCTGGTTTTGCACGAGGTGTGTGCCGAGAGAATTAATGTCACAGGAAACATTCTCGCTTATGCTGGGAATGCTTTACAGCCGCATGCTAAGAGTTGAGTATCCTGCAGTTGGAACAGCTTCAAGAGTGGCAATCACGGGCTCATACCGGTTGTGACCACTATTACATCCGTCGAAAAAGGAGCGCTAATGGTATCGAGAAAAATAGTGCACATTCCGGCACTAGTTGACATACGGCACAGTCACATTTGCTGTTCACAACTGCCGCAATAATTTTTATATATATATATATATATGTATATTTATAAAAATTATATTTGTTTTGGACTTTGAATCGAGCACATGCTCTGTGTTCCACTCATGCAGCCGATCTGTGTAAAAACGAGAAGTGAAACGTCCAAACAAAGTTTAAGCCTGAGTTTACTCACGACTTTTGACATACTGCTATTTGTGTCTGGTATTTCAGATGTTTCGAGAGCAAGTGTTGAGCACCATTAATATACGATAAAGCCGTCGCCTGGTCGGTTTGTCAAATGTTTGGCATGCAATTTTTTATTGCAAGTGAGGTGGTGAAAATGCCTTCTATTTTATGGCAGAAAAATGTCATAGATTGTTGTAAAGATTTTAGAACTATGAGCATATTAATTTCATTGAGGGGAGGTGTGTAAATTTATCGCCGATGGATGTGCACCCGTTAATGCATGTTTGAATGCATTGCATTCTATTATGACTGTAAACAATGAAAATATGGGTACCTATTTTTGTGTTCGATAACTTCATGTTCACTTATTTGAATTAAAAATTGTGTTATGTACTTACGCATTATTGCATGTTCAAATTTTTTTTTTTTAAGCAATAGCATTAAGTAGCTTGTGTCACAGAATAGTCGGCGTCGGTGCCGTCGTGACGGAAAAATCCTTATTGGTCTATAGGGTCATGACGTCAAAGCCACATGACCTCGCGCGGGAAGTTCAAACAGCGCTCACGTGAAACGTGACATATGCGTGAAATGGAAGTGATTAAAAAACATGACATGTAATGCAAATTAAAGGTCGCCGCATGTCTCAAATAATTTCCTTTTATAAAGTAATTTATTTGGCGTAAATAAATTTTTGAAGAATTTCAGACAGGATTTGAGCCTATGACCCTTTGGTTGCAGGCCAGATGCAACTAGGCCATGTCCGCCACTTTCTGGTCGCTGGCAATAAGAGCATGAGAAGCGAAAAAGAAGGCGATGTAAACGGGGCCCGATAAGGCTATCGTATTCCGCTCTTAAAGGCAAAGCTTAAGCGTCCTCCCAGTCCTTTTAATTTGGAGATGTATAGTGTATTTGTGCATTTCATACGCCTTTCATTGCACCTTGATGTTTGGCTTGGTGGTTGCGAAGTTCTTTTAATCTTCGTTTTAGCATGATCTTCATGAACAGCAACCTGCCGTTTGGCCTGCACGAATGCAAATCATTCAGTTCTATACATTACAACGTTTATGTGAATCACAGTCTACATCTGTTTGGCCACAGACCAGCATGCGGATGTTTGTCGCTGCGGAAGGCGAGCGAAGTACGCGCCACATGCACGAACGCTGAAAATGGCACCGGCCAGACGAGCTTCTCTCGAATGGTCTACAGATGTCTTGCTAAATTACTTAGGAATCTAGGACCATGTGCATGCTACAAAAGTGGCTACACTTGATGGCGTTTGCACCTGTAACTTTCCTAATGAAAATCTGAAACAAATTGCACGTTCCTGCTGGTAAGACAAGCGTTTTTTTGTACGCACATTACGAGCATTCTGCGTGGTGCTTGAGTAATTTGTCAAAGAATGTATGCGTGACTCGCTTCCCACCAGTGACGTCACGTTTAGATGGTGGGTGAAAACTAGGGACAATGAAGTTTGGATTGTGGTAGTGACCGACATATCACTTTATTAAATAACAAAGCAAATCTGGGGGAAAGAGATAACATTTTGGAAATTCAGATTATGCCTTTGAATTAGGTAGCTTAAAAAATTGGCAAAACTCCCCTTGAAGTGTTTTTTTTTTGTTGTTTTTTTGAGCTGATAGCTGATGGTTTTTAGTGGCACTGTCATCACTATTGATGACCTGAGACAGTTTTCTGTTTCTCAAAATTAGTTGGTGAAGTTTGTTACACTCTAAATGTAATTATTGTAAATAGCCTTAGATTTTTTTTTTTTTTACTGTAAGGGAAACATTTAAGTGAAAAGTTATTCGAGTATGTTTCGTTGTGCGTGGTACCTGCAACTTTATATTATATTCAATTGCTCTTAAGCTGCACGTTATCTTAGTTTCTTAGATTTGCTTTGAGGAACACCTCAAGAAGGAGGAAGCTCTCACAGTAGTTTTTTCTCGCCTTGGAGTCCAACATAATTCCAGGCATTTCTACAGGCTACTGTTTGGCTTATTTTTTCTGGGCAAAGCAGGCAACTCTGCTGAAAAAAGATTGCGCGAAAACATTATTGTTTTCCGAGGGTGTCATAAATTCCAGAACTGCACGCACCGGTGTAGAGGGATTTCAGTGCTTTTCTTCCACAACATACCAGTCTGTTGATGGATGGTTCAAGCTGCGCCGGCACAGCGTGACGCCATCTGTGTCGTCCTCACAGGCCAGTTCTATGTGATGATGTCCCCGCAAGACGTGCTGCAAACGACGTCGCCCCGTGCCCTGGCCCCCAGGACCCACCAGTTCAGCCCCAAAGGGGAAGGGAACCGCACCGCCAGGGACGAGAGGCGCAGGGCCACACACAACGAAGGTGGGGCTTTGGACGTTGCCTCCTTGGGGGGGGGGCACTTGCTAGAAATGAGGATCCCTAGGGAATCCTATCTCTTAGAGTGGGTCTCCTAGACACCTGGGAAATGTTCATATTAAAAATAGCACAAAAGAGACGGGACAAAAAGACGAAGAAGCACACAGGACAAACGCTAACCTGGGAAATGCATTGCCTCCATGTGGAACATGTCTTTAGGAGTGATCTGCTAGGGATAGGGAGATCCCCTAGGGAATTTGTCCCAAGGCATAAATTTCCTAAGGGCTTAGGGTATGCATGGCCAACCCAGTAGGCAGGTGCTGGGGGTGGGGGATTCCTAGGGGCCCCTCTCCCTTGGGATCTGTTGTACCTAGAGAGCCTAGGCATGAATCCCGTGGGCGCCAACTACAAATTCGTTCTGCATTGTAAATATAGCTCTAAAAAAATTGGTTTTTCGTTGTGAATTTGTTTTAGAACATTCTTTTTCCATCCAGGCTGTTTAAAAGAAATGTTTTTCCCTTTGCATATGTCCTTTCAAGAGAACTGGCAACGACGATATTAAACACTAAGGTGGCCGAGGTGTCGTCACTCTGATTCATAGCCTATTTGGTGGCTCTAGAAGGCCCTTTAAAGTGACTCTCGCGATGGGAACGTGACGTGCAGGGTGCATACTTGCGTGACAGGTTCGCTGCACCAAATTCACTGGGACGGCGGCTCGTGACGTTTGCTGAATCCATCTTAAAACTAAATGGAGCATGGGCATTTGCCGTAAAGACAGTTGCTCAGTCTAAAGCTATGGAGGGCCCGGCAGGCGCAACCCCACTCTAACTCGGGGTCGACATGACACAGCCGAGAGGCATGCCTCTGCGGCTTCAAGGACTTTGTGAGAGTGTCCACCGCAAAAATCTGGTCGTCCTCTTGGCAGGTCCTCTGACTTATCTGAGGGTTTTTTTCCCATTGCAGTGGAGAGGAGAAGAAGGGACAAGATCAACAACTGGATAGTGAAGCTGTCCAAGATAATCCCGGACTGTTCCAGCGACCTGAACAAGTCTGGACAGGCAAGCACCCCGTTAATAGAGTAGTGGCTTTACGCGGCTTCATCCTAGTAAGAAATGATGAGGAAGGTCGAGGATAGTTACGAGGCTACAGTTGACTCTGGATAATTCGATGCTCGCAGGGACAGCGAAACACTGCAAATTAAACATATCTAAATTTTTTTTTAAATGTTTTTATTTGGTATTTTATGGGAGGAGTTGATTTTTGCTTGCCTCCACTATGGAGACACACGGCATTCCACTAACAAAGACATTCAGTGTAAACTATGCTCTGCAAATTGAAAACCTTTCTTGGGGTGCCTTGAGCAGTTTCTTTGCCAAGAAAACTCCAAATTGCCATCTGTTGCCTCAGCAGTTTCCACGTCGGCGACACTCGGTCACTCGACATGAAAAGCGGCGCGATTGTTTGTTAGGCCTAACCAGTGAACGACGTCGCTGTCCTAAAGCAAGCTACAGCTCACGGCACGTTCATTGACATCAATATATTTGATGAACAAATCATCACGTAGGGCTGGCTGACGCCTGAAACCAAGCTTCATTGGCTGTATGCGCTTGCTTCCATAACTTCCTTGGGAACGGCTCCATGATGCGCATGCTTGCAGCACGGTGTAAGAGGCAGTTGAATCTCTTTAATTTGAACTCAAATGGGACTGAAAATTTGTTTGAATAAAGCAAAGTTTGAATTACCAGGAGTTTCGTCCCATAGAGATGCATAGGATGGGACCTGCATGTTAGTTTGAATCATCCACAAGTTTGAATTAACGAGATTTCACTGTATGGACATATTGGTGTGACCACTGCATGCGTCGCAGCTGCCAGATAAAGTCCTCTCCTCACCTCAGTTGCAAGGGACGCCACCAGGTGGCACCTCAATACGTGACTAATGGCAGCCTTTCACGGGGCCAGTTTCCCATGCCCCTCTATGAATGGCCTGCTTGTTTTCGAAGTCAATTTTGAAGCGCACCACGTCATCTAGAACTTAGCACTTGTGCTCTCAGGTTGCTCAGGCACTACTCCGCCGTCTATCCTGGTCTCGCGCCCCGATGGCGGTAGCAACTGTTTTACGTACGCGTTGAAGTGGAAGTATCACTGGCGCGGCGTTCGCGACAGTGTCCGTCAAGGTCGGAGCAGACGCCGGCGAACGTTCTGTGTGGAAAAAGCGCGTGCCAGAGTGCGACGAAAACGAGAACTTTCTTTTTTTTTTGTCGCACCGTCCAGACGGTGGAGACGCCGTCGGCTAAGCCGCTCTGGTGCGCGCCAAGGGAACGTTATCCGGTCGATCGCATCGCAGCTTTCGCGTGGCGCGTGTTCTCGCACATGTATACCTTGCTCCGTGGCTCGCAGCCAAGCCAGCTCAGTTCAACTTGGCTCGGCTGCCCAGCAGCTTAGTCGCGCCACGCTCGTTCCTTCCTCTTCCCGACTGTGCACGCGGTCAATTAAAATCAATAAAGTGTGCCCGGGTACGACTTAAGCTTGGTCACCATACCGTGGGCTTTTTCATGCTTCTCAAGTTGCCGGTCTTCTCGAGTGCATGAAAAGATCCTTCGAATCAACCAGTCCCAGAGGTAAAACTTTAAATGACCACACTTTTTTTTTTCCTACACTCACACATAATTGTTGGGACCCTGCCGCCGCTTTGAACTAACCGAAGACTCTAAAAAAGCAACTTTGAATTGCCGAGTCAACTGTGTCTGATATACTCCGTTTCGCGATAGCTTGGCGAACCCCGCAGGCTGTGGCCCCCATGACCCAAAAAGGGGCACGGATAACACTCCTTGTTCGAGACCACCGGAGCAGTACTACTGCTGCAGCAACGGAGCCCTCTGAGACAAAAAGTAGTCCTAGGCTTCTTTTTCTTTGAACGGCTATTGAACTCGCGCTGTTCCATCTATAAGGAGAAAATATGAAGAATAAAGAATAAATAATCACAAATTTACGAGTTTCAATTATATTTAAAGCAAAAGAGTCACGCCAAATCCGTATTTGCTCGATTTTTTTCATTTCGGCAATCGCCGGCGGCCATGGCAGCCGTGTAATCGGCCGTTTCCACTGAAAACATTTAACTGTGCCCTGGCATTAGCATCCGTCAAAGATTTGCGGCTAAATTGAGCGAACGGTTGTTGCGTATGGACCTGTTCTCGAAGTGCTCGCTATTCTAGCGGATGGATATGTTGCTGCAGCGGACACTCATTCGCAGTTGGTTGGTTTTATAGCAGTCAAATCTTGGCTAGCAGACGACAGCCAGTTCCTCCGGGCCTCGCGCCTCGCATTTGGCGTGATGAAACAAATGCTTCCGTCATGTCAGGTCATGTGCCTCGCTCTAACGCTGTTATTGGGTTGCGGGACTTTAGCCTTCGCAGTTCGCCAACTACCGTATTTACACGATTGTAGGTCGACTCGATTGTAAGTCGAACCCCCCCCCCCCCCCCCCCCATCGCACATCAGCAAAAAAAAATTTTTTTTTTTTAGATGCACATTTTATTGAAACACGTGAGAACGGCAAAGTATCTATTTCGAAAGCTGAGCCTCCAACACGCAATTGATGCCTTCTGGTGTGCTTTGGCTGTGCATGCACGTGCGAGGTGCACGAGATGGCCAGGCGTTATCGGAACTAGGAAGTTCACGCTGGAAACGGAACAGCTGAAGCTGCTCTGTCGTTCTCACTCCATCCGTGACTAGACTACGACTTGTCCGCACTGATGATGTCAGTCCCGTCGTCATCACTGCTACGTTCTCGAAGCACGTTGTCGGCGTCGTCCAATGAAATCTCGCACTTTGCAAATGACTGGATCAACGGCATCTTCCGCGCTTGCTCGGCGATCGCGTCGGACGTCACGGGTAGGGACCGGATGCGCACGTTTGTGTCGTACGTTGCATGCCTGACCTCCAACTCCGGAAGGCATCCCCACCTATCCAGACTTTGGCCTGCGGAAGCTTCTTCGTTTGCCGTCACACTTTAAGATTCCGCGCAACCGCAGACTCCACTGGACCATCACCCACACCGACGGGTCGAACTTGCGTCCAACAGCACAGTTGTTGGTTGCTTCTGAATGAAGAATGGCCATAAACGAGCACCGAAAACCTAAACTGCCCGGATCACGTGTTTCAATACAAATGAACATAGTTAGCGCACCAGCATGATCTTGTACTCGATCAAACGATGTGCAACCGTGAATCGTGCGAAGAACTGCGAAGAGAAGCCCCGGTGCCGTGGGTTGAGCGAGCCGCGAGCCGTGAGGCTGTTCCAGCGGCCTCCGGAGTGGCTCTTACGAGAAGTGCCATCACCCCCTGGGAGTCGGGCGCTCCGTGCTCTGTTCACCGTCGTGCATACGGGTTAATTTGCGAATCGCTACCAATAATACTCGTTTGCACAAATAAAAAATTATCAATTTGTAAAATGAGCGCACAAAACAGCGTAATGCTAGAAGTACAGCCGGCTGAACTCGTAACAAGCCGAGGTGACCATGATATCGCAATCGTTTCGTTTTTGCCGGCGGTGGAAAGCTTTGGTTCGATTATAAGTCGACCCCCCTACTTCAGATTTTCAAAAAATTGAAAAAAGGGTCGACCTACGTTTGTGTAAATACGGTAATCATGAAACAGAGTGTAGGGGAAAGCTGTGTGCTCTTTGGCATTGCGGGAAAGTGTCGCACAAACAGTCAGTGCCTACTTACGTACCAGTTCAATGTAACATCACAAACTTCGGTCGATGCAGTCATGTGACCGCGTGACTTGCCGTCACCATCATTTATCGGCCCAGAAAGGTTCTCCATATAATTACTTCCTCAGTACCTTTTTCAAAACTCTTTCTCTTTTTTGTTTCTTTTTTTCGCAAGAGTTGTTTTTTTTTTTTGTTCTTTTTTTGTAGGAATTCTGTCTCCTTCTGGACCGGTGTTTTTCGGCTTTGTAAGCCTCTTGCGTGAGTGGAGCCTTCTCCGCAAAAGGTGTGCCGCTGCAGGGTTGTCCGTACAAGAGAGGGGCCTACAGAGAGGTACCTGCCTTGTGTGGAGAACTCATTTTTCTTAAGGTTTTTTTTCTCAAAGTTCCTCTCGTTGCGTCGCCCGTGGGTGGCAGTCGTCGCAAGGCTCTTCCTTTTCGACGACTCCGCGAGGTCGTCCCCCAGGGAGGTAACCTCGCCCAGAAGGATGCTTCGTGACGGGCGGTTGTCGAGGGCACACCGCTCGTAAGAGGCGCTCACGACGAGCGGTTCCCTCGACACCAGAGGCACCCTTTTTACGGCAATGAGCGTCTCTCGGAGATTCGTGGCACAATGTCGTTCGCACAAAAAAGCGATAACCCGTTTCTCCCTTTTTTATTGAGCAGCAGAAACTCTTTTTTGTGCAGTAACCTAAGCGGTAAAGTTTGGAGCCTGCTAACAAACACTCTGTCCAAGTTAAGGCAAGACACTGGTTCTAAAGTCGACTTTTTTGTTTATGAATGGATTATAATGAAAATCAGTGTGCATATATGTTTTGGCTTCCTCTTTTCAAATATTCAATTAGTTCTGCAATATCTCAATTACTTTTTGAGTTACGAAGAAAATAATTAAGCCTAATTAGGTCATTTCTTACGACTCATTAAGGAACTTTCTAATACGAATTTTTTTGCATAAGTGATATGGATTTGTAGCTAAAGACCTGTCATGCAAGATGATGCTATTTATATTTTTGTAAAGATAGATCATTGTATAGAACTAGTCTAATTAGGTCAAGTACACTATTTAGAAAGCCTAACGAGGACACATTATCACTAGTAATAAAATTTCGGGCCCATACTGTCATACAAAAATAGCATCACCCTGCAGTTCACTTCTTTCTGAATTCAACGGTATAAAGTTTATAGAAATCCTTGAAGAACAATCTCCTGAAAACAACCGTAAGGCTAGGCATGTAGACGAAAAATGCGAAGCTGAGAAAATTGCAGTTGAAGTTTTGACACTCATTGCATAAAATTGAGTAAGAATCCCATGCAATAATGTTCAGCAATATGAAGCATAGTTCTATCTGAACAAATTGAGATGAAAAATTCTGCAATCCGTTCACAAGAACCTTTAAAAAATAATATAAAACTGAGAAATAATGTCTGCAATGTAAAATAAAGTTATAAAAGAATGAGTAGACTCTATAAGGGACAACGGGAGGAGGCACCAAGGGTTGCACGTTCCGAAAGCAGATTTTGTTTGGCCCTGAAAAGGGCCTTTGTTCGTGTAGCACTTGAAAGGGGAGCCCCTCACAGCTGTCCAGGACTGTAGTCCCCAGCTGTTCCAGTTTGGTGTTGCCTGTAGAACCTCTGCTTTGCATTGCTGCTGCTCTGGTGGGCAGCGCTGGCCTTACGCAAACACAGATTGTCCTTCTCCATGCTTTGAGAGCTTTCATGTCCACTACAATGAACTGTGTCCCAGCGTCGCGCGTCTGGCCTCCTGTGGTGATGCCGAGAAGGTCGGATTTGCGCTTGGTCGCCGACTTTTCCGATAGCGCACGCTTGCATTCGTCCGATCGTGCGACTCGTTGCGCCTGCTCGGCCGTGGAGTAGTATACGGTGTCGACACGAACCGCGCTCGCAAAGCTCGACAAACTGCCACTGCTGCATGGAGTCGCGATGTCTCCGGCTGATGTTTCCGGAAGATCCAAGGCATCCGGCGGTGCCGATCGCGGTGGCGTCAATCGCGGTGGCGCACTTGCAGCAGACAGCTTCGGCTTCTTGTTCCACGGTCGCTTCCTCTTCGTTCCGAACGCTTGCCGCGTGCTCGATTTCAACCGAGCGTCGTCCGGCATCTCGAGAACTCGAAGCGAAACAAAACACGCGCGACTTCGTAGGAAAACGAACCAACAATATTCAACGCAAGCGCGCAAACGGGAACTAAAACCTGCGCTCGACCACGGAGGAAACAAAGCAGACAGGCCTAAGGAGACGGGCGGAGGCGGGCCCAGGAGCAGACGACGCACCTCTCGCCAGCGCGGGAACGGAAAGGAGGAAAGGAGAAAAAGAGCGGAGGGGCGCGTTTAGGCCAATAGCAGGGGCGCTAGGCGCCGCGCGTGCTCTGACGTATGGGCACCTTGCTAGCCGGCCAATGAGCGATCGCAATTGGGGCCTTCGAAACCCACGGAATGCGGACGTTCCCCGATGTTGTCGCGATAATGAATGGAATGGGGACGTGGGGAAAATAAGCAGCTTTCCAACAAGACCAAGATGGCCGCGATCCGACGAGCGATCGCGAAACGCGCAGGGCGCGAAGTTCCACTTGTTTTCATTGAACTCGCTGTGTTAGGGCTCTGCGGGGACATCGTAAACATCATTTTTTGCATGCTTAGACATTCAATTCGACACTGAAACTTTGCAGGCAGGTACCTTAGACTACAATTAATCCAAATATGTGAATTTTGAAAAACGTGAAATTTCGCGTTTTTTTACCATTTTAAGACCCGCGTCTCCCCTTAAGTACAGAAATGTGCTTCACGTTTTCCACAACGGTGCTATGCAGCGTACACTAGTCCATCGGGGAAACTATAATGTTCGCCGACGAGACGAGGATGGCAGGAATGTCTTGCAGTCCCACTTCCGGCGCGAGTTTCCTACGTTTATTGGCGCTTCGGAATCTCTCGAGCCTCAAGCACATTGGCCGAAGCGCTACGATATGCGGGGGGACGCCGAGAAAGCCGCGCGACCGTTTCTGACTGAGGGCGACGTCTGGACATGCAGCAGTCGTCGGTGCACCTGCACAGCAAGGGGGGCATTCTGGCCAAGGCGTGCGACTACATCAACGAGCTGCGCAGCAACAGCGCCCGCCTGCCGGACATCCTGAAGGAGAACGAGCGGCTGGCCGTGGATGTGGAGCTGCTGCGCCAGCAGTGCGACCAGCTCAAGGCCACGAACCAGCTGCTCAAGGCCCACCTGCAGCAGCACGGCATCCAGGTCACCGAGGTGGTGGAGCACGCCTCCTAACCCCGCCCTGCTGGCGCTTCTGCCGCCTCGGGCGACGACGCCGGCTCCCGGCCGGTGAGTGTCCCTGCCACGCCCGTGGAAGCGTTGCGCGATCGGCGAGTTGCGTAGTCCGGGTAACCCGGGCCGGCGATTGCTGCGTGCGACTGCAATGCCTACTGGCGACCGCAGGCCTTCCGGGAATGCAACCACGAAAATGTGCGGAAGTTCTTTGGTTCCCCGCTAAAGGCTGTGAAACATTTCTGTTTCGAAGAATGCCTACCTTGTTCAAGTGATAACCAAAAACCCATCCTGGTTTCTGCATTTGTGCGCTACAGCAGTGCAGAGGCCTCTGGAGCTTGTAAAGAGCAGTGCGCGTATTAGACTCTTGGGCCCATTGATTTGTTTAGATAAATTGTTAAAATCTGCTAAAATAGGCCTTAATTTAAAAAAAAAAGACTACGTAGGAGCAGGAATAGCCAAGGAGATTATCTCGAGGAATGTTTGAGGAAACCCTAAAGAACCCAGTTTGAGAACCCACGTGGAAAGCTAGGCTAGTCTATAACAAACTCTTCTACTACGAAAATGCCCGTTTAACTAAAAAAGAGTAAGGTCCTGGCCAGTCTCCTTCCTGTTTGGTGTGTTTCTCTGACTACCACAACAAATTCCTGTTTAACAAATGTTTCTCTTTAATAAAGCAATTGAGCAGCCCCACAAAGCAAAAATGGCCTGTATAACGAGTTTTCTAGGTGAAAAGTAGTAGATATTACGCAAGTTCTCTCTCAAGTGACACGCCTAGAGGACAGAAACACTGCTGCAGTGGCGATAGTCAACACCGCCGCCACGCCATTCCTCTGCCGTTGTCACGCCGCACGTTCTCGGGTCCAAATAATTCGTTAGTGTGCAACTTTATGTCCAGATGACACTGTGTGACTATGTTACTCCGTAGAAAGCCTGTACGCAACAATGTAGCACAATGGTACAAGGTTGCACTCTGTAGTTGGTGACAGGTCAAGAGCGAAGTGGAAGCTCCTCCCTCTTTAGCAGAGCGAACACTGGAGAGGAGGCGACCTCCTCTCTAACGTTCACTCTGCTAATGTGGAAATAGGTGGGAGGAGCTTCTACTTCACCTGTTCGCGACTAAATTACATCATTTATACCCGAAACCATGAACACGCAGCGCGTCGCAGCGGATGCAGCGCCACCTCTGCCCCACAGGTCCACGTTCTCGCGCTAGACGGTGTAGATTCCTGCATTTATTTTGTTGCGCAGTACTGGTGGGAAAATAATTTTAGGGGGAAATGGTGCAGTACCGTTCAGTGCTTCAGTGAAGATTGAATCGTGTTACCAGCGTACGGCCTAAATTTATACAATCGCTCGTGTGAACGCATCGTCTCCTCTAGGCAGTCCTTGGGAAGCATGGATCACCATGACGGATCCCTGTCTCCGGGTGAACTGCACTACTTACGTTGAACGTTTGATTCTTTTAAAATAGATGTATCGGTTCACCTTCGTGGGAATTTAACAAAACAATTAATTTCGACCCGGACAACATAATATGGGTATGGTGGGCTGTGAAATCGCAGGTTCTGTGAATTTTTGTTTTTGTATCTTTTAGCTTTTGCAGTAATGTAAATATTTAGCATGAAGAGAAGTTAGTGCTCTATCGGAAATTACCGTGCTATTGAGTTTCACTGCAGCCAACGTTTCCCTTTACTGCAGGGGTGGAACGGCTGCGCCATTTGCGCCATTTTGCGCCAGACGCATGTGTCTGCGCCATCCTGCGCCATGTTGCAGAAACTGCGCCACAGCCAATACCTCGCGCCATTATGCGCCAAATCGCAAAACGTGCGCCAAAAAGACGTTTTTTTTTTGTCTTGGTTTCGGTTTTTATCGACTCGACTGTCAACAATGAGGGCGTTTAGCCTGGTCGGCCTTGCAATCCCTTGTTCTGTTTATTCCCCTTGTCTATCCCGAGTCGGAAGCGCGCGAAAAAACTCGGATTCTAAGCGCTACACCACCTGCGACTGGATTGTTACTCTTCAACCATAAGCGGTAGGGCAAGTAGGCCGAGGTGAGGTCGAGTCGTTAAGCGTCAGATTGCATGAGGCTCCGCGGCCCGGGATCCGGACGTCATCCAGTCGAAAGCAATTGAGCAAAATATTCCTTTTAGTGCTTCATCGTTAGGAGTTGGAACCGCATTCTTGCAAGATAAATCGTGATTTGATAGAACTGAAACGCGGTCCGTATCTGCTCGGCGTACTTTAGCCTTGCTCCTGCTTATCGCTTCAAATATGATAACTTCGTTAATCGTAGTCTGCTGCTTCGATATCGAGTTGCACAATAAGATAAACTGGAAATTTGTTGCCCTGTTCCTCCGTGCAACTGCACGTCCGTTGTTTACGCACGTCACGTGGTTCGCACATATAATTACTATGTCGAGCACGTGTGGGTTGTGCGATAAGCAGAGCTGGTTTGCATCTTGAGCGTCTGAAGGCCACTCAGAAAATATCAAGGACGCTATCTTCAGAAACATAGAGTACTTGCTGTTTGATTCTCATTAAGGCTCACAAAGATTCAAGTTTTCGCATATATTACACTGTTATCCCCTCTACCTAGGTCCCTAACCGCTCATGTTCATCTCTGCTGCTAAGCACAATTGAAATTGCTCCCGTGCTTGTCTAAGACACAAGCTGAAGTGCAATGCAAACTGATCTGAGCTGCTCCTAGCCTGCTCCAGAATGTAGTTTTAGCTGCTCCCAACCTGCTCCAAAACAGCTGTTTCAGCTGCTCCCGTGGCTGCTCCTAAGTACATTTCATGAGTTCCACCCCTGTTACTGTGCCATGGTGTGGTTGAGTTTTCTGGGGTCGGCTCAATTCTACTACGTTGCATTGAGGAGAGGGTGCCTCTTCTAGTTACAATCCAGAAAGTGTTTGTTGGCGGGACAGCTGAGACAAGTGAAACAAACTATTCTAATATATCTACCGCAAGTGTAACGAACGGGTGCTACTAGATGCGTTTCTCACTAGTGTGGGTTCACTTGCTCCAATTTTTTCGGTGAGGGCCGCTGATGTCTAAAGTCAAATATTATAAATTTCTATCTAAATAATCATCTATTCAAACATACTAAACTCTGCGAATCCGACAAACGACTCGCACGACGACACAGTGACACTATTTTACTGATGAGGGCTAGCAACTCTCACTAGTCTTTCCGATCACCCTTTGCCCTCACCTAATGCATATCAAGACTGGTCAGTTCATCGATTAACCTTGTTATTTAAGTTATGCTTTAATTCCGATATATTTTAGAACGCAGCTCTTAGGCGCCCGTTTTCGGCTGGAGTACGTCGACGGAACCGCGCTTTACATTATGAGACGTTTCCCATAATGACGTCACGTGTCATCACACGGCGCCTAAATCTTCCTTTTTTTTCTCTTTTTTGTTTATTTGGATCTTTTTGCTGGAGAAAGTTGGGAAAAAGCAAAAAAATGCCTGCTTTGATATTTCTAAAATCTTCATTTCTTTTAGGTCACAGGTCTGCTCGGTAAACTATTTCAGCATGTTTGTGATTGTCATCGAGGGTGATTATAGTGTTTAGATGATAACTTAGAAATTTCTTCACTTTAAAAGGCTTCCCATGTTTATATTTCAGTAGGCGTCACAACGTGATGTTTAAAATGGGAATGCGATATGCCATCAATGACATACTAAAAATAGTAAAAAAAAGTTGTTTTAACGTCTTTTATGCAGTATGACCAATGAAAAACCAACGAAAGAATTTATCAATTGATTAGTCTATTGAAAGGTAGCAATCGGTCAGATTAATTTTTTAATCAAATTGCAGCTGCAACAACATTTAATGTTTTATTAAAGCTACGGTTTGTGTGAAATAACAAAAATATGTGGGACCAGCAGTTGTATACGAACCGCGACACTAAGATTATGGAAGCATCCGACTTAATAATGATCGTTTGCTGAATTTCCACGCACAAATTTCCAGCACAACCTTCAATAGGAAGAAACGACAGCAAAAACAGCAAGCGTTTAATGAGGAGGTCCATGCTTCTGAACGTGCGCCCGTAGTGGACAACACACTGCGATATCTCCACTTTCGCATGTTTCCGATGTTGTCCGCACTGTGGCAGCGCGGTTCGAGCTTGAGGCGGGTAGTTACATCTGTGGCGACGTTCGAACATGTTTTTCTTTTTATGTAGTTTTGGAGCCTCTTCACAGTTTGTGCAGAAGAATTTCTGTCTTTAATATGGTCCTCTCACAACCAAATTCGGTAGGCATATACTTCAGGATATGTAGAACGCAGCTATGAAAGTTTTGATGTGAATGTATATTTTAATATTTCTGAAAAATGTTTGCAATGTTTGTTAGCCCCTCGAAATGGCATTGTGGCTTTTAATTATTTTAGACTGAAATGAAAGCGTCGCACACATTTTCCTCTTTCATTGCACTCAGCAGTTTAAAAAGAGCAAATTAGTTTATTTTACTAGGCTTTTTTAAGTGTGTTGCCACGCCTCACATCTACAAACTATATCAAATCTAACGCCATATTTCTGAAGAAAGGGTTAAGCACCATAAACTGGGAAAATTTCATTTCGATGTCGTATATAAGCTTCGTTTATTTACCTTGGCGCGTGTCATTGAGCCAGCTCACCTTGCCACTCCCCGTGTGGCCTTTGCTGGACGTGGATGCCAGGCTCGGCTTTGAACCAGTTGCCTCTTTCGTTGCAGGTGAAGGTCAACTTACAAGAATGCCCAAGTGATAAAGTAATTCGAAGGTTAGGACCTGTGCGGGCGACGAAGCGAAAGAGCCGCCGCACTCTCCGCCGGCGGCCTTGGTAGCATTGCACGGCGTTGCCCGCGGAAGAAGGAACCTTCGGAGGCTTAGGCAGGCACATTGTATTCACTCTTAGTTATCGTGCACGAGCGTACCATGTAAAGAGTACAACGGAAGTAGCGTGCGAAGAGAAGCGTCTAGGGTGGGCCAGAACATGGCTGCCCTTGTTTGCTGCGGTCCCCTCCGTGTTGGGACGGGGTACTGCTGCGCCGAAGGGTGGCCTCCATTTCCTGTTGATTGTCGCCCTGCTCCCTGTGTCACAGTGCTCCACTGCATTTGCTTGACTGCAACTAGATAGAAAACCTTGGTCAGCTCTTCCGTTCCGCTGGTTGCCTCTGAACCAGTATTGGTGGCTTGTTCTCCTTCTTCAAAACTTCAACATTCTTCAGACTTCTTTTTTTCTTATGGGGAGTGGGACAAACGAGGCAGCAGGTTTGAATTTATGGATACGTGCCAAGAAATTCCCCTTTTTTTCACGGATATAATTTACTACCACATTACACATTTCCTTTCAAAGCCTTTTGAGCTCGATTCGGGGGTGAATGCGAGTGCTAACGTTATTATTGCGGTACCTGTGGGAAAGAAAAGCCACACATTTGGAGTTTGTCGGGTTTTTCTTTCCGCTGAAGATGGCTTTGAGTTTGAGCGTACTGTGTGTGTGCTTACCTGTTGTGTATAAAAGGATTGTTTTTCATCTAGTCATTGCTCCAACTTCTATTCGCCTGAGAAACACATTTGGTTACAGATGTAGGGAAGTATTTTGGGTTGAGGATGTGGTGTCTGCCCTTTTGCTACCTTTTTATGGTATTTCCACGTGCTCCTTTGCCCCGGGTAGTGTTTTCAAGGTATGTTCATTATGTATGATTGTTTGGGATTGGGTATGTCTGCGACGGAGCAACACTGAGCACAAACATACCTTTCAAGTTTTCCTAGCATTTTTTCGCAAAGTGTGGTGTAAGGCTGTGAACATGTGAACCCCAGGTTGTGCTGTTTTTAAAAATATCTGGGTAATTTTTTTTTTCCTCTGTTTGTTTAGTGAGGGGTTGAGGAATTGTGTTTACATTCTACTATGGCACCTTTATTTGTGACCCATCTGTATAAAAGTAAAAGCAAAGCTGTTTTGGTGGTGGTGCTTTGTTAAGTTTTGGTATGTCTTTGAAGTTTCTTTTCTTGAAGTGTAGTGTTGTGTATCACTTGAAACTCTGTAAAGCTTTCTTTGTCGCAGAACCTAGTGTTGTGGGAAGTTTGGTACCGGCACTAGGACATGTAACCAAGGTATGATAAGGGCTTTGTTGAATTCTAGTAAGTGAACAAAGCCAGAATGACTAGGCCTCTTGGAACGAGTGACTGCAAAATTGCTGGCTTTGCGTCTTTGACTCGGTTAGTGCATTGCACCTCCTTAATTTGAGCACAGGCATGTTATACAGGTTGACTTTGGTGAGTTTTGTACTGCCCATCCTCCTTGTGTTGCTATTTGGCTGGGGCTCCTCTGGCCATAATTGATCCACTGTCTTACTTTGCATCTGCTATTTATGTTGTGTACTATACATCCCTGACATGGTGGGAGCATGACTGCGTGGTATGAAGCCCTCGTTCTGTTTCCTGAAAAGCTTGTGTACATTGTTTGTTTCTTTGAAAGAATTTAATAAAAGAAGCAACATGGTAAGGAAAAGGCCCTGGTGTTCTCGTACTTCGTTTGATGTTTAGTTGGGGCTAACTTCAGTGGCTTCTCATGTTTTATATAAGAGACAGTCACAGCTTTTAGTTGGGCAATGGCAGCAGGAGTGCGATGTCATCTCAGCTGTAGACATGGTACAAGTTTAGTAATGTGTATGTTTACTGATGTCTGAAGTGGACAGAATTCCTATACTCATTTTCACCTCATGATACGTAGTAGATGTCCGGCTCCTTGTGGAGCATTATTCATTACATTCTTAGAGAGGCCCTGCAATCATGTTTATGCGTCTACGTTTTTTGCAGTTTCCACGTCTCTTGGGGTTTGGGAGAGGCCCTGCAATCATATTTAAGCGTCTACCTTTTTTGCGGTTTCCATGTCTCTTGGGGTTTGGGCAAGCCAGCAGGCACGGAAAGAGTAACTAAATATCAGTGCGTCATATTTTAACCGGACGATGCGGAAACCTCCTTCACCTTTGGAAATGACCCGCGGTGCCGAAAGTGTGCAATATGTGACGTCTTTGGTCCTGGGCTTACCACTGGTCAGAGCCGCTAAAAGCTTCTTTTTAGTCGAAATACAAAATATAAGTAGCGCGAACCGTTTCAGTTATTTATAAAAGTAGTTTTTGTTAATTAGATCAGAAAAGAAAGAAATTCAGTTTGAAAAGTATGGAAACAAGAAATGACCTGTCGACATACCCGCCACCAAGCGGTGGAAAAAGCGGCGCATACTATGAAGGTGTAGTGGGATCAGGCACCGACGAGGCACGAGAGTAGAAAAGTCCCGGATGTATGTGGCGGCGCTGCGATGGATGGACTGGAAGATCTGACCGGTTCCGAGCAGTTCGAAGGCCTTCGGCGAGCAGCTTTGGCTTGCGGTTTGGCCGTCTGGCGGTATGGCAGCGCGAAATGGTTCCCATTCAGAACTGATCTTTACCCCGTGTTTGCTGTTGTTTGTGGCCAATGAAGTGTCATGACGAATTAGTGTTTAATCGCGCAGCAAATGCGATGTGAGCCGAGCCGCCCTGGCTGCCCGCTTCTACAGCCTTTAGTGGCGCCCTCTTGAGACGTCGACACGGAGTGCGGCAGCCGTGAGCACTCGCTAAGCTCACTATCCCTCTAGTTTACAGCCACTCAAGCGACCAAGGACGTCATGAACGAGGTTATTTCTTGCTTGTTTTTGTAGTATTAAAGGACCCATGAAATGAATTTTGGGCTGGAGTAAATCAATTTATATTTGGATTTTACTAATAGCACATCGTTCAGTGGGCCAAAAGAACAAAGGTAGAAAGTCAGAAGCCTGACTTTCGCTGCAAAAATTTGCAAAACGGCGGACTATTTCGTACCTCCTTCCCTTCGTAAACTCTCCGCCTTTTTACTGTGACACATCCGCGGACCCCGCAGCGCGTCACCGGGCTACTAGCCACCATAACCGGGCCCCCGCAGCGCGTCACCAGGGCCCAAGCGCACGTCACACGACACCGGACCTCACCTAAAGGGAAGCTACGGAGCTTCTTGAAAAAAATGAGTTAGAAGTGAATTCTAGTGTATTTTTACCCCCTGAACCCGAATACCCGAACCATTTGCTGCGTAAGTATTGTTAAACGCGAGAAAAATGCGAAAGACAGTCGCTGTCCGTGACGTCATCGACGGCTCTTTTGCCTGCCCAAGGCTAGGGGGGCGGGGCTTCAGCCCTATTTTGAAATTGCTGTTGTGGCTCTCCGGCGCGTCGCATTGAAATATAATTTTGATATCTGTTATTCTAAAGGCCAAATGAACGCAATTCAAGCGTTTTTTCTCAAATGTAGAAGTGCCCCATCTTCCCTTTAAAGGAGTCATGAAACGCTTTTTTAACTTTTTTCTGTTTAGCTTTCCTCCTCAACTCGTAAATCGCGCATTGTACCAAACAGTTCAAGAAGTCGGAAAGGGGGGAGTCCCCTCTTGCTCGGAATCACGCTTGTGTAGCCCGGACACAGCCATTGTCCCCCTAGAAGATTAGCCCGTCGCTCAAAATTCCGACTATAAAAAAATTCTCTGCGGGTCGGTATGCGCGAGAGAGCGTGATTAAGTGGAAAACGTGTGGCTGGCCCAACGAGCACGTAGCTTCCACAGCACTCAGCTTCGGGGTGAACGGGCTGGGGAAAGCAACTAGTCGGAATTTTGAGCGACGGGCTAATCTTCTAGGGGGACAATGGCTGTTTCCGGGCTACACAAGCGAGATTACGAGCAAGAGGGGACTCCCCCCTTTCCGACTTCTTGAACTGTTTGGTGGAATGCGCGATTTATGAGTTGAGGAGGAAAGCTAAACAGAAAAAAAAAGTTGAAAAAGCGTTTCATGACTCCTTTAATATGCCTATAGCTTTTAAAATAATGTGAAATTCGAGAGAAGTTTCATTAAGTTACTACGTGCAGTGCGCTCAGGTTCAGTGCAAATTAAAAACCAGTAAAAAAGTCCTTGCAGGGCCCCTTTAATGTAAAGAATTAAAATATATGTAGGTGGCATTTTAGGTTAAATATATGTTATCTTGGTACACAGTTCAAATGCCAAAACCATTATTTTTTTCTCTGACAACCAAATCTTGTAAGAACTATGCACGGCGCATAAACAATGTACAAAACTTTTTTTTCTTGAGGTGACGAGTGCAGAAGTGCCAAAAGGTGCTCGAAGGAAAACGCTGTTGTCAGTGATGTGATTGCTGCGCCAATACACCCTTTGCGAAAATCCGAAAAGCCCGCGCGCGCCGCGCGACGAATGGGAGTACTCGGTACGCCCCTCCCATCGTCTTCCCTCTCGCTAACACGTGGCTAACGCGAGCAGGCGCAGGTTACCATAGCAACAGCGTTCGAGCACCCCAGAGCCCAGATAGCCGAGTCGGATCAACACGTCCTAGAAGAGAAGGCCGTAGCGCTCTTCTCGTGACGTCGCAAAGGAAGGCCATCGGGGGCGCGCGTCGAAGCGAAGGCAACGCGCGTGGATCGACCATCGTAACGCGCTTTTAGTCACATACGCGAGCCTTATTAGCTAAAATGAAAGCTGCACATAGCAACGGGCATAGCCTCCTCTATACGGAGAAAGCCTGGCACATCGACGACGGAGCCATAGAGAGCGCGGCCGCAGGAAAAAGGAGAGGAGGAGCGCGCCGAACGGTGACCAACATGGTAGCGCAGAGCAGAAAGGGCAGACCTAGACCGCGAGCGCTTGGGTCATGAGCGGCCGCTCCCCGAACCACGCTTGTTTTTGTGTTTTCGTCACCGTCGTTTTCGTACTCCGGGAGAAACGGGCGCCGCGATTCGAAAGGGCGCAGGGAGAAATGGGAAAGGGTGGACGTTGAGTTTCTCCTCTCCGCGATAGCGACAAGAAAAGAGGAAAAAAAAAAAAAAAGATTGTTTCTGCGTTTGGCCGCTCGCTCTTTTGTGGCGCTAGCAGGTAAGGTTCTCTCCGCTCCCGTTTCTCCGCCCCTCCTTTCCCATTTACGGCGGCCGTCTTTTCACGCGACGCGCCAGGCTTTCTCCGTATAGAGGAGGCTATGCAACGGGTCTAGAAAACATTTTATTATACGAGTAAAATATTACGCCACTAAATATTCTGTATGAAATGGCACGAGGTAGGCGTATATGAGAAAACATTGAGTTACGCAATTATTGCTCTAGGAATGCATATTTTATACAAAAATACTGTGACAAAATGGCGAGACACGCAGTGATTAAACACAGCAAAACAGGTCACACTTAAACATCAGGTAGATGTAGTTAACGCGGACACGGCAAGACAAGTGTCACGATCATGTAAGCGATGTTATCGCGTGCAGTCACCGAATTCTTGCATCATACGCCGGCCACATGGCAAAAGTAATGTAATTTCGATCGAATGACCTTATGGGGTCGACAAATCAGCTTGCGACGCTCGTATAATCACTCAAGACCGCGAGCTGATTAAATCCCAAATCATTTAATGTTAATATATTAACTTTTCCGTGTGGCAATTGTACTAAACTTACTATTTACAGTCAACTAATTTACTTCTCCCTATGGGCTCGAGCTGCCGTAGAACGAAATATAACTTATTTTGTATACAATAATACAATAACCTTAATACAGTTAAGATTCTAGTATAAACGCGGTAAAGGCAGCAAAATAACAGTATAAACAGATAAGCACAAACAACGCACTTTGTATAATCACACAAACGTGTTACTCACCTTCCAGTGAAAACTAGAATATTACCACGCATATTTACAACTGTCGACACAACCGCACGCGGACAACGACGAAGAAGATGTCATTCTATCACGGAAAAAAAAAAAAAAAAACCGAGTGCAGCACTCTACTCGCGTCCCATATGACTAAGAAAGCCCGTAAACAAGTTGTTTCTCACCTGTCGATCGTATCCATACGTCCCGGAATATCCGCCACGAAAACATTTGAACACGAACTTTAAAGGGTAACTGCAAAGAAAAAAAAAGTGTATTTTTAAACAGCCTAATTAGGACAGGCATGTCACAAAACAATCTTTTCGCCGAAAACAAAATCTTTTACGGCAATATTTATTGCGCGAGTCTGATTTTAGTTTGCGGCTATTTCGTCCGTTTTAAATCGCACGCCACGAAGTTGGTGTTACACGTCACGTTATGGCTCCTATACGTCACGGAGTGGCGTATAACAGCCACTCCGCGCCCGTCGAAAGAGCGCGGGTTTCAAATGTGGAGAAGTTGTGACTCCGACTAAATTACGTCCTGTGGCGTAAATATTGCTAGAAAAAATTTGTCGTCTCGCGGAAGATCTGTTTGGTAACATGCTTGTTTCATATAAACTTTAAAAAAAAAAACTTTTTTTTTTTTGCAGTTACTCTTAAAAAAAAGTGTTTTTTTTTTAACCAGCCTAACTGGGACAAGCATGTCACCAAACAAATCTTCCGCGAAAAAAAAAAAAAAATGTTAGCAATATTTACGCCACGGGACGTAATTTAGTTTTGTGGCATGCTTCTCGTATTGGGCCGTT